ACAAGACTCTTAGCAGTGTGATTTGCAGTGTTCAGGCATATCAAATGTGTCACCAGATTACCATATGGTTAGACAAAGGCCAACCTAAATTCTCTAAAGCAAACTTGTGAGAGGAACCAAAAAGTTGCTCCTTTTGAAAATTCCAGTTGCCTAGCCATCATGATAAACCTTGTTCTTCAGCCAGGCATTGACTAAGTATCTGCATACATATTTAGGTTCATTATTTCAGCAGGGACAAAGTTGGTCAGCATAAAAGCCAGGCAACTTTTCAAAGACAGCTCAGTGATTACAACCCTGTACTTATTCCATAACAGGTTTAGTTCAAAATGTTTTCCAAGTTTTCTTTTTCAATGGCTTGGGAAGTGTCACAAGGGTTAGGACATCATTAGGATAAAGGACTCCACATCCATGACTGTAGGAGGGGTAGCAGAGGTGTCTGAAAATAGTTACTATGTCCTTCAGGCTACAATGTAGATTTAAAAAAATCATACAATGTAAGAAGTGATAATTATGGCAGATTCTTCTGACATCAGTCCCAATAATAATGCTTTAGTGAGGATTTTGGGTCAGGTTCAGAGGTGTAGCACCCTCATAGTCAGGTAGGGGGAGCTAGACTCCAATTGTTAACAAGGAGGGCTGAGTAGAAGCCATGATGTGATAGCTAGCAGGGGTCAAACTGTGGTCAGAGCCAAGAGGCTCTGCAGGCCAGCCCTCTGGAATTTACCCCTTGTCTATAACTTTGGAGAACTTTCACTGCCCCCAGAGTGAGGACTACCTGTATAGCAGGGAAGGAGCTAGAAGGCCTGGTAGCAGCCACTTACCTCCAGCTGACACAGCAGAAGGACTGAGTGAGTAGACTCGGACCCCCTGGGCCAGAAATGGGGAAGGAGGCACTATAGTGGTGAGCTGGATTAGCCTGCCACCCAGGACTGTTTCACTAAATTTGTGTCAGGCAGCAGATCCCCCGCCCAAGGATTCCTCCAGACAGCTGGGTAAAGAAGAGGATTTATCTGGAGTTTGGGTTGGTACTACAGGAGATGCTGGTTAACCCTCTAAAATAGACTGTTTTGCTGTAAAGACTTGTAAATATTTCTAGGAAGTTGTCCTCGGTTCCATTGGGCATCCCATACATCCCCTACCCCATCCAAGTTGACATTTCCCTAATGAAACCCAAAAACCAAGCTCAAGGACTGGTTACTGACTTCCCTGACGCAAGCCAGTGTGGAAATGCATGTTGCCTGGCTGTGCAGGGCTATAAGGGGACCCAAAACTTCAGCAACTCCTAAGGGAGTAGTGCTACAGAAGCATAAGGCCAATGGCAGTTGCTTGCTTTACCTCGGTTGTTAGGTAGTTGTCATCTGCATTGGTGTGACCTCTGCATATGTACATTCAGCTACCATCCCTAAGAGATATTTAATTCTTGCTTCATATTCCCTCTGATAACATCTCTGGGGATATACATATCTACATGTTTCCCATTTACCGGCTAAAAAAGAAATACATGATAAAGCTTCTGAATTTGTCCGAATAATTGGCAGATGTATTGTAGTTTAAACAACAGCGAAGGGCACTTTATGTTTTGTTATATGCCAGTAACTGAGACTCAACATGTTGCTTGCTGACAAACAGAGGTACGAGGAATTGCCAGTAATGCAGTTTGTCTTCGGTGTGTGAATCATACAGTTGCTTCTATCAGAGTGACATAATTGTGACATTCCACAACTAATTGGACACATTTGTTACACTTGGTTTCCTGCAGCTGATGCCACTAATTCTCCGAGTTGCACAGGGACATCTAAACTTGAGGGTGCGACCTCAGGTGTTTTACTCTACTTCTCAGTGATTAGATTTCTATCAACCATTTCTATCAAATTTAACAGTGCAAAGTGCAGTGACTAATTGCAGCCAAACCGAGTTCACACAACCTAAGTCAAACCTTTAAATATGACTTCTGATTGGTTCTTATGGATACTGTAGTTTGTGTTGGCATGATTTTATTACATGAGCATGATAGAATATAAATATATACAGTTGGGCTCAAAGGTTTGCACACTGGCAGAAATTGATATTGAAAATATGACTGATCATGCTCTTTTATTGAAGGATGATGATCATATGAAGCCATTTATTATCAAATAGTTGTTTGGCTCCTTTTTAAATCATAATGATAACAGAAATCACCCAAATGGCCATGATTAAAAGTTTACATACCCTGGAATGTTTGGCCTTGGTACAGACACACAAGGTGACAAACACGGGTTAAAATGCCAATTAGAGGTTAATGTCGAACATCTGTGGCTTTTTAAATTGCAGTTAGTGTCAGTGTATAAACAGTCAATGAGTTTGTTAGCTCTTACGTGGAAGCACTGGCTAGGCTAGATACTGAACCATGGGGATCAGAAAAGAACTGTCAAAAGTCCTGCATAACAAGGTAATGGAACTTTATAAAGATGGAAAAGGACATAAAAAGATGTCCAAAGCCTTGAATATGCCAATCAGTACTGTTAAATCACCTATTAAGAAGTGGAAAGTTCAGGGATCTCTTGATACCAAACCAAGGTCAGGTAGACCAAGAAAGATTGCAGCCACAACTGCCAGAAGAATTGTTCGAGATACAAAGGGAAACCCATAGGTAACCACAAGAAAAATACAGGCTGCTCTGGAAAAATACAGTGTGGTTGTTTTGAAGGAGCACAATATGATGACACTTGAACAAAAATGAGCTGCATGGTTGAGGTGCCAGAAAGAAGCCTTTACTGCATCAATGACACAAAAAGGCCTGGTTAGGCATGTCAAGGTGTGTTCAGGCATATTGTAACTGGGCGCATGCACTGCCCCAGCTGTGCTTTCATTTGGTACATCACAAGTTGATCAGCAGGTGCCAACTCATGATTTATGGTTGGGACCTGCTTTTCAGCTGAGCAAATGACAGAACAGAGCAATGTGTTGACAAACAACAAAGAGCTCTGTACAGACAGCAGCAATGTGCCATTTTTTTTCTCAGGGAATAAAGACAGTCATGTCGCTAAGTAAAAGCAGCGCATATTACACACAGTACACATTGTTAGGCACACAGTTAACCCTATGATTGCCCCGAGCTGTTAACTGCTTTCCAGCCAGTGTCATTAGTACAGTTACATGTATAGTATTAGCAATGATCACTGTATTGGTGTCACATGAGATGTCAGTAGCAGTTAGTCAGTTCACACCCAGTGGCAGTCAGTGTCAGATTACTTGCTGCACTATCACAGTCCCACTATAAGTCACTGATCACTGCCAGTGCTAGTATTAAATAAATAAATACAAATTCCAGTGCTTATCCCATAGTTTGTAGACACTCTAACTTTCAAGCAAATCAATTAATATACATTTAATAGGATTTTTTTTAACCAAAGACAGAATACATGTTGGCCTAAATTTATAAAGAAATTAGATTTTTTTATTTTTTGGTTATTTTTTGGATATGTTTTATTGCAGAAAGTAAAAAAATGTGTTTCTTTTTTTAAAATTTTTGGTCTTTTTTTCATTTATAGGATAAAAAATTAAAAAACCCAGTGGAGATCAAATACCACCAAAAGAAAGCTCTATTTGTGTGAAAAAAATTATCAAAATTTATTTTGGGTACAGAGTTGCATGACCGTGTAATTGCCGGTTAAAGTAACGCAGTACCAAATAGCAAAAAATGGCCTGGTCATCAAAGAGGTCAAATATTCCAGAGCTTAGGTGGTTACATTAAAGATTCCCTAAAAATTATAAACCATGGCTTTTAAATGACAGAACTCAATTCTCTAGGACCCGTGGGTAGTGTATATGTCATCTGGTCCAGGATCTTTATTCACCTTTATTCTGGCTAAATATTTCTGGACCATATCAAGTTTGAGCCATAGTGCTTCATTTTGGGGCTATGTAAATTTCATCTCCCTTTACATATTGTCTCCCTTGTGCATATTACTCTATTATTTTTATTTGTGTTGCAACAAGCTTTTCCACTGCTTTATATTTATTATTTATTTATTTATTTATTTTGGGTACTTTTATAGCGCCGTCAATTTATGCAGCGATTTACACATACATATATATTGTACATTCACATCAGTCCCTAACCCTCAGGGGGAGTACACTCTAAGGTCCTTAACTCACATTCATACATACACATACGAGGGCCAATTTAGACCGGAGCCAGTTCACCTACCAGCATGTCTTTGGAGTGTGGGAAGAAACCGGAGTACCCGGAGGAAACCCATGCAGGCACAGGGAGAACATGCAAACTCCAGGCAGGTGGTGCCATGGCTGGGATTTGAACCAATGACCCTAGTACTACCAGGCTGAAGTGCTAACCATTTAGCCACTGTGCTGCCCAAAAATTAGTAAGGTCTTTTAATGCTCCATATTTATTTGGGCACCATCATTTTTTTTGGCACATATGCAATGACATTAGTTTTGGGGGAGGATTTCTGGGACACATCTAGAGCCATCCTGTTTGCAGGCTGTGAAGGGGGCACAAGCGCATGTGACAAATGACTAGCCATCAGGGTCTAGTCTGGAAATGAGCATATGTAGTTCAGGGGAGGTGTATGCATGAGTAGCACTGGTGATCAATTATAGAAAATATTGGTGCCCTGAGATATCGGGACATGTGGATAATTTGGTGGTACGCGTGCACAATTTGGGAAGATCTTACTACTTTGGACTTTGTTTTGGACTTTATTATTATTTATAGTGAAGGTTTGTGGGTTGAGTGGCATCTTTTGCTGTATTAAGTATAGAGATCATGCTTTCTGGCTTCACAGGATATACTATATGCTTATTCCAGGTCAGGAAACCACACCAACCCAGGATTTAATGCCCTTTCAATCCATGAAGGCCTGTGTCAGAATTGCTTTTTTTTTTCTTAAAGCAGAGCTCCAGCCAAAAGGGGAAGTTCTGCTTTAAGGACTGCTCCCCGCTCCCCATTAAGTACTGGCACCTTTGGGGAGCAGGTACCTAAATTTGACAGGTACCTGTAGTCTTTTGGGACACGTGACAGGTCCCAGAAGACTACAGGACCATTCACGAAGCGCAGCGCTACTCGCGCATGCGCAGTGGGTACCCGGCTGTGAAGCCGAAAGCTATCACAGTCGGGTGCCCATACTGAAGATGCCGGCGCCTGGAATACAGGACGGCCGGTGAAACGAGCTGCAGGGAGGACACCGCGGGACCAAGGGACAGGTAAGTGCCTGTTTTTTAAAAGTCAGCAGCTACAGTTTTTGTAGCTGCTGACTTTTATTTTTTGATAGGTCGAGTGGAACTCCGCTTTAACAATGGGTCAACAATGGAGACTGCCATTGCTGACCTCCTTCGGAAAATACTAATTTCCTAACTGTAATACTGATCTCAGATTTTTTTATTACATGCTTATTGCAGGTCAATAAACCACACCAACCTATGATTTAATGCCCTTTTAAACCAAAAAGGCCTGGGTCAATGGGTGTTTGCAGTGCCGGATTTATATTTTGTGGAGGCCCCTAGGCAGTCAAAACGATATGGCCCCCCTTGCAGGTTTCTAGAGTTTTCTCAGGCGTGCAAACTCTAGTGCAGTGGTTCTCAACCTGTGGGTCGTGACCCCTTTGGGGGTCGAATGACCCTTTCACAGGGGTCGCCTAAGACCATCGGCAAAACACATATTTCCAATGTGTAAAGAGCAGCTACTGCGTAGAAAGCAGCTACTGTGTTGAAAGCAGCTACTGTGTAGAAAGCAGCTACTGTGTTGAAAGCAGCAGTATTGGAGGTAAAACGACACTCATGAATTATAATTACTGGATAAATAATTTTATGGTTGGGGGTCACCACAACATGAGGAACTGTATTAAAGGGTCACGGCATTAGGAAGGTTGAGAACCACTGCTCTAGTGGGATAAGCTGTAACTTAATAAATATATTTTTTTAGTTTTAATACCGCTTGAATAGATATGGCTCATCTGCTGTTCCCTAACAGCTCTGGGACTGTTAGAAAATTTACCTTGTCCTATCTTTCCCAGCTAATTTTCCTGGTCCTTAGAGCAGGATCTACATACCGTACTGCAGCATTCCCTCTGCCAGTCTTGCCCAGGCTGCAGCACACAAGGATAACTTCATTGGTGGGGAGTAGGATGTATCTGTAGCATCTACAGGGCCAAGGCAAAGAAAGAAGAATGTGTTTGTCACGAGGCCTGTGTCTAAATTTTATCATATTCTAAACGTGTCCTGGTAGCCCAGTGCTGGCTTTGCAGTAAAGGAATTCATAGATGAATCTGTCTGTTAATAAGACATATACAGCAGCTGTTGTGCTTGGGCTTTTCTATCTGCAACATCTGGTAGTTAGCATCATTTTCTGGAAATAACATTTTCTCTGGACTGGGAATTCACTGAGCAAACGGGCATCATAGAGACAAATGAAGTCACGTATTATATACTGTATGTAGGTTAGGCCCCTTTCACATGGGGTGGAATTCGATTTGCTCAGCAGGGGGTCTGTCCACTGAGCAGAGCAGGTAGATTACAGGTCTGTGCCCACTCAGTTTATGCAGAGCAGACACAGACGGAGCCAGGTCTGCTCTATGGGTGATCAGACTGGCTATCTGTTTACACCCAACTGCCCTCTTATCTGCCTAGATGGAGGAAAATGGATCCCCTTCTGTTTTTTTTTTTTATTTAGCAGATTGGATTGAAGGTAGGCAGATGTAAATAAACATAAGTCCGTTTACACCCATCGGTCTACAAGAATACATGGACCCTCTGATTGGGTCCGCCTGAAAAACTGACAGGCGGACCTAATCTGATCGCCCGTGTGAATAAGGTTATCAGTTTACAATTTTTTTTCAGCCTTCCCTGTGACATTGTGGCCTTTCCTTACATAAAAACTAGAAATACGGGTAGGAAAATTGTGGTTGAAAATAGTTCAAGGAGTTAGATTCACTCATTTTCTTCTCAATTTAAACAAAAGACCAAATACAGATGGCAATAAAAACCCGACAAAGATTTTAACCCTTTGCTGCACTGTTCAGTACAAAATTTTATATTTTGCCTGGAGTTGGGCTTTAAATAGTAACTGTTGGTTATGAGTTTTTTATGCTATTACATTATTAATACATATCCCTCTATTCCAGTACTTGGGTCCTTACTGTTTCCTATGTACAGTATACAAGTTCAGCTGTGGAGGTGACAAGTTCATGTTCACCTTTTTGACATTCTGACAAAAATGTAATTTATTTATTTATACATGCTTTTGTATTTTTTTGGTGTGTGTGTGTTTGAGTATAGATATGTTTGAAGCCATTTACTGTTGACTGATTCACTACCTCTGCTGGAAGCCTATTCCAAGCATTCACTAAACTTTCAGTAAAATATTACTTTCTAAGATTAGTTTGAACTTTTCTCCTGTTAGAAGATATGCCCCTGTGTTCATGACCATGGTTTCATATTGAAAATACTACCCTATGAACCTTATTCACCCTCTTGATGTATTTAAAGTAATACTAAAGGTTCAGATTTTTTTTGCTTTACCATGCTTACCTGCTTTGTGCAATGGTTTTGCACAGAGCAGCCCAAATTCTCCTTTTCTCAGGTCCCCCGGCTCCTCCCCCCTGCTAGCTCCAGAGGCACGCATAGCGTGGCTCGGCCCCGCCCCTTGCTCCCTCCTCACTGGCTGTAATTGACTGCAGCTGGAGCCAATGGCTGCTGTGTCTGAGCCAATGGCTCCCGCTGCTGTGTCTGAGCCAATGAGGAGGGAGAGACCCAGGAGAACTCTCATGCACATTACTGGATCAAGATCGGGCTCAGGTAAATATTGGTGTGGCTGAGGGGAGAGAATGTAGAATGTATGAAGGTAAAAAACCTTCAGCCTTTAGAACCACTTTAAAGATTTCAATCATGTCTCCCCTTTCCCACTAAAATGTACATATTAAGTTCCTGAAATCTCTCTTAATATGTTTTTATCCCTCCTACCATTTTTTTGCCCGTCTCTGGAATCTTTCTATCTTACCAATATCTTTTTGTAAGTGAGGTCTCCACAACTGAACATAGTATTCCAGTACATAGTATTCTAATTTAGGTCTAATTAAAAATCTATATAGGAGACCTCCTTCCCGCTGCTGATGAATTGTATTCACTTTTCCCACTGCCTGGCCACACTGTTTGCACATTTTTTTCAGCCATCTGAAATAAGTACCCCAAAATCTTTTTTCTTTTGTAGTACTGGCCAACACTGTACCCCCGATACTGTAATCTGTCAACAGATTATTTTTCCCTAGGTGCAATATTTTACATTTAGAAACACTGAACTGCAGTTTCCATTGTTTTGACTAATCTTCCAGCAATGTCAAATCATGTTCCATGTTACAGACACCTCCAGGGACATTAACTCTATTAAACACCTTTGTGTCATCAGCAAGAATACATTCGTTAACCAACAACCCTTCACTTATATCACTTGCACATAGATTAAATAGAACTGGACAGTACCGAGCCTTGTGGTACACCACTGGTGACTGCTTTCTGTTCCGAGTAAACCTTATTTACAACCGCATTCTGATAACTATCCTTTGGCCAACTGCATATTCACTGAACCACCCAAGGGTTAAGTGCTAGCTTGTACAACTTTTGTATGAGATCATCATATGGAACTGTATCAAATGCCTTGCTGGACTCAAGATAGAATATATCCACAGCTCCACCCTGGTCAAAAACATTAGTGATATAGTAAAAAATTCAGTTAGTCAATTCTGACATGATGTGCCCTCAGTAAAGCCATGCTGCTTTGGGTCCAGCAAGTTGTATGTGTTTTTTTTTTCATAATAAATTTTTTTTTTGCCCAAAAGAGGGCCAATAATAGTGTCACACAGCTTGTGTACCAAAGAATAATACAGTCCACAGAACAAAAACATTTACTTCAGATAACAGAGTCAAACAGTCCCGTACATGCAAACAGGGCTATTGGAGGTTGAAATGCAATGCCTTCAAAGACTGATTTCTCAATCAATAACTCTTGATAACATTGTGTTTGTGTCAGACCCCAGTCACTATACCTAGTAAATTGGAATCTTGCAAAAACAATCTGCAACAAGCCATGGAAATGGGCATCAGTGTTTTCCATTTTAGAAGAGTTGAAAGAGGGTGGAAGGGGAAACGGGAGAAAGAGAAAAAAAAAAAGGGGGGGCAGAGGCTGGGGGGGGAGTGAGAAGAGGGAGGGTAGTTACTGAGGTTGTGAGTAGTGTAAAGACCACCTGGACTTATGTTCCAATGTGCCCCGAATAGCATAGGTCAGATGCTCTATGCTTTCTATATCATTCACTCTGGTGAACCATTGAGCAAGGATAGGGGAAGACTGCTGCTTCCACATAGCAGAAATACAGGCACTGGCTGCATTGAATAAATGTTTAAGCAAAGATTTGTGGTGCTTCTTCTTGGAGAGAAGTGACATGTTGAGAAGGACCCCCACAGGGTCATCAAACAGAGAGATGTCTGTGAATTTGTGCAAGAGTTGTAAGACTTGCTCCCAGAATGGGCGAATGCCAAGTCACTTCCAAAAAATATGGAGTGTCCCCGTGTGAGAGCCCCATCTCTAGCAGAGGTGATCCAATTGCGGGAAATATTTGGCCAGTACGGATGTGGTCCTATATCATCTGGTCACGATTTTATAGGTTGCCTCCTGATACTTGCTACATAATGAGGATTTATGAGCGAAAAAGAGAATCCCGTCTTTTTGGGGTTCTGAAAAAGTGGCCTGTAAGTCTCTTTCCCATTTTGCAAGAAAGCTGAGGGCAGATTGTGCATGCAAAGCAAGTAAATGTTGGTATGCAGATAACAGAGATTTTCGTATTTGGCCATCCCCTAGACTGAGCTCCTCAAATGAGTTGAGGGGCCTCTGGAAGAGATATGGTTTGGCCACTGTACTCAAAAATGTGTGATAATTGGAGGGCCCATAATTTGTTTAGGAGCAGGGGACCCTTAAACAGGGTTCTACACAGGACTCAACTGTCTGGGCAGAGGAAATAAGAAGCCCGTAGGAGCCTCTGGAGTGTTTGCATGGAAAATACTGGGTCTGACAGTCCTGGGCTAACTGAGGGATGACCTGTAATCGGCCTCTTAGGAGAGGGAAAACTATGCATGGCAGAATGTTTATAA